TTAGTGCCCGAGGGGATCGAAGTCACGATAGCTCAAGTGGTAGAGTAGCGGCGTATCAAGCCGAAGGTCGTGGGTTCGAATCCCGCTCGTGACACTGACGTTTTTATCTCAACTTAAGACCTTAATTAATTGAATGATATTAATTGGTCAAGCGGATCACGAAAAATAGTGAATTTAATTAATTAAAATGAACTATACTTCGCTAAAAACTCTCCGTGGCCATTTCATTTGTCGCCGAGAATCAAATAGATTACACATTTGAAAAATGGCAAAAAGGAGGGAAAATTCAAAAGGTTGAGTTGAGATGAGAAGTTAGTGCCCGAGGGGATCGAAGTCACGATAGCTCAAGTGGTAGAGTAGCGGCGTATCAGCCGAAGATCGTGGGTTCGAATCCCCCTCGTGCCATTGACTTTTTTATCTCAACTAAAAACCTTAATTAATTGGAAAATGGAAAAAATTGGAATTAGAGGGAAAGTTTTAGAATGGTTTAAATCTGACATTAAGTCTCGGAAGCAAATGGTTTATAGGTGACAATGGAATTTTATAATTATAATTGGACTGAGACATTCTCATAGAGTGAAATTTGATTTCAGTGTGAATGAGTGTTGGTACTGGTCAACTTCCACTACAAGAGGCTCAAATGACAAATTCAACATATATGAACATATCTACTTAATACAATATTGGTAGTAGTAAATATCAAATAAATGTTATAAAAAATAAAGGAAATATTTATTTTTATACTGGTTAAATTAACAGATCCACTTCCTCAAAGATTTTATTTATAAAATTGGTCTAGAAGTGGATAAATCCGTACTGAGTGGATAACGTGAATTACTACAACTACTACGACAATTCAATCTCACGAAAAATTCACCCACGACCGGTTTGTGTTCAGTCTTTGTGTATTCCTCGATAAGTTCATACTTAAGGGGTGTGAGTGTACTGTTTTTCTTCGAACGGAACAAGATCCTGTCTGCCCAGGAAGGTGTCACATTCCAGTTATAAGTGTTAGTAGATGGTTTGAACTTGTACGTGGGTCTGAAATTGATATTCTGCTCCGTCAAATCTTCAAACGACTCTTTATCCTTTTGAGCTTTCTTGAGCTGATCGTGAAGTAGAAGTGTGGACCAATCCTTCTTCTCGATGAGGGGCTTGACATTAGTTGAATCTAGGTCGATCTTGAAGTTAAAATTTCCGAGCCAAAACACGTAATCGCTATCTGGATCATAGTTTTCCTTTATATTCTTTCTGACTGCCTCGTATTGATTGATCCTCCTTTGTGCATCGGCTTTTTCGCTGAGACGCAAACCGACGAAGGTGAATTGGGTATTAAACAAGTTAAAATTCGTTATGATGGCGCCGACTTTGGAAAACATTTTCAAATTCACAGCTCGTGTAACTAATGTTGTACTAAAGTTGGACGGTATGGTAACCTTGGCCAAGACAACAAGCGCATTGCCCTTGTGTACACTGGCATCGATCTAAAAACAAATTTTAGTTTAAGAAGTGTTACAACACTTTTCATATTATCCTCCAAGTAAATAAACTTACCGTATAGTACCCGCTAGCTTCAGCCTTCAAAGCCTTGATCCACTCGTCTTTATCATTAGCCAATATTCCTAAATTTTGGAGTCCGATGACAATCATGTCAGCCTCGGGGGTTTGTGACCAATTCTAAAACCAAATTCCTCTCGATAATATCTCCCGTACATGAAAGCTCAATTTTTTGTGTACTTACATTCACACCGACTAAATCTGACAAATCATTCGGTAAATTGTTTTTATTAACGCTCCAAGTGACGACACGGATATGAAAAAGACTAGAACTAAAAAAGAAAATAAACTTGTTGCAAATATTTATTTGTTTGTAAAGACTAAAAAACGCTCATCAAATAAAAGATTTTCCGGTTGGCCTATTTCCATAGAAATCAAGCCACGACTTGTCTTTAACATAGAAATACCAAAGAAATTTTCATTGTTATAATAATTTACTTTGAGTATGTTAATTTGACGGACAGCACGCCAGTAAATGCTGCGAAAGCCAACGTTGTCGAGAGTAACCTCATAGCTGCTATGACGTTCTTAAGACTGACATTCCACCGCGTCGAATACTTTTTATATTTGCCAGGTACAACTGTGCACACAAAGCGCAAAATACGCATATTAAACATTTGCTCAATCGCTACTGATAGTTTTACAACAATGCGTTAGTGAACAAAAATCCGACTGTTAAAAGTGAAGTTTCCATCAAAGCAAATTCACAATCTCTAAATCTCTAAGGCAAGATTCTCGATTTTTCTCAAAAAAATTTTGTTGTGCAAAAATGTGATAATGATGATGTATGATGTGTGCTGAAAAATATAATTTTCCCTTCAACATTAACTCTATTTTCTATTCCAATTCTCTATTGATCGTTTTACATTTATGATCACTGTCACTGTGACTGCAATAGTATTTTCAATACCACTTATGTTACTTTGGATGGCGTTTATCGTTTTCTCATAGCGTTCTTTGCCTGCGTTTTCTCCTCTGAGTCCATATTTCCGGTAATCCAAGATACTGCTTTTCCTAAACCTTTTTGTTTGGTTTCACTATTAATTAAATGATCAAATTTCTTTTTTGTGTATTGCTTCAGTGCCAAAAGTGAGTTTGATTCGTTGTTTGTGATTTATTATGTCTCGTATATAAATCACTCCTTCTGGAATTTCGTTTTTCTCTCTCTCTTCTCGGGTTTGATTTAATTTATGTGTTCTCTTTTCTCTTTCATTTTCGATTTGTTTTTTTATTGCTTTAATTACAAGTTCTCTGTTGTCGTTCAACTTTCTGTCCTAGGATAACGTATTCTGCGTATGGGCTTTGTATTGGTTCGAAAGAAATTTCATTAGTAGCCATTTTGAAATTTGACATTATAGAATTATTATACGCTATCAAAGAGAGCCTTATGTATTGATTAGAGGATAATTTTTTTTCGTGTTTTATTATCTTCATTATTTCTGTTAAGTAATTAAGGTTTTTATTTTTTATTTTTATTTTTTATCTTTTTTGGCGTTATGATCTAGTATATTAGCCATGGTGACAATTCTTATGTGTGTTCAAATTGGGGGGGGGGGTTATCGTGAAAAAAAGGGCCAGAGACGACGGTGGGAATCGAACACACGACCGCGGCGTGAGAGTCTCTCATGCTAACCACTTGGCTACCGCGGTCCCCTATTAAGGTTTTTAGTTGAGATGAAAAAAAGTTTATGGCACGAGAGGGATTCGAACCCACGACCTTCCGCTAGATACGCCGCTGCTCTACCACCTGAGCTATCGTGACTTCGATCCTCTCGGACTCTAACTCCCCATCTCAACCCATCCTTTCGAATTTTCAAAAAAAGATAAAAAGGAGGGAAAATTAGAGTGTCCGAGTGGATCGAAGTCACGATAGCTCAAGTGGTAGAGCAGCGGCGTATTTAGCCGAAGGTCGTGGGTTCGAATCCCGCTCGTGGCACTGACTTTTTATCTTAACAAATACCTTACACAAAGATTAATTTATATAAATAACTAATAACTAAAAAGCGGACCACGAAGGTAGTGAATTTCTGTTAAGGTTGAGCGGGCTTTGTTTATTTGACCTTTTGAATCGGAATCGTTTGGCGTGGTGTAGTGTGTTTCGTTATTATTATATTTAATGTAAGGTATTGGTTGGGGGACCGCGGTAGCTGAGTGGTTAGCATGAGAGACTCTCACGCCGCGGTCGTGGGTTCGATTCCCACCGTCGCCTCTGGCCCTTTTTTCCCGANTTTAATTTATTATTTTTTATTTTATATTTATTTATTTTGGTTGAGTTTCGTAATCGAATTCAAATTGTTAAATTTTCCTTCATATCACAGACTAAAATTTTAATCTATTGTTGTTACGAGAAAGATTAAGGATTGATCTAGGTATCGCAGATTTGTAAGAGTTGTACGAAGTAAAAAAAAAAAACTGTGATCGCTCTTTTTCAATTTTGTACAATTACGTTTTAAATGTTGTGTACAATTTTTTTCATGCAACATAGATTATCATGCGTCCGTATATTTGGATGGTGCAACTGAAAGCAATTTTGCCACCAATTGAGGGGGGGGGGGCAAAAAACAAAAATCGGATCAAATCCTGAGTCCAAATTAAAAAAAATTTATTGCGTCACCAATGTGTGACGATGTTCTTTCAACGGCACAACAAATAAGGGTAAGACACTTAGAAAACTCGGGGATAGGAAAAGAATCGGAAGTGGACCAATAAGTTAAAAGGAAAGGGTACGGGGAAGGGTAAAATGAAACAAATAAAAGCACACTTGTTGAAACCATATTAACTGAAAACATAAAATATAATTACAAACAATACAAGGCAAACCCAAAATCGTAACATAGGATGAATAAAATATTTTAGTTATTCCACTCTTTAACTTACACTTGTAGCCATACAACCACACAACATAATCGCTCAACTCACCCTCTTGAGAACTAAATTATCATACAATTCAATTCTAAAGATTGGCACTAGGTCAACCAATAGGTTTCGAATCTGGAACGCTCCTGACCTGTTTTTTCCAGTTCAAATTGAACATTTCCCCTCCTTCGATCCTCCCCCACTCAGCATTCAAATATGCGCCCCATTCGCTTTTCGGAATATCTCTGAAAGTGACATACCCAAATTGTGAGGATGACAGTACATCTCCCCCGAAAGACGCAAGCCCTCGTTGGGAGGCATTCCCACTCTTGTAGAAATATCATTCTTGGAGGGTTCTATGCTACTAATTCGACCTTGGACCTGGTAAGTTGCATTTGACGAGTGTGTATGGGGCTTAATTCTTGAGTGTGAAGATTCAGGGAGTCGCACTGGGCGGAGATAGTCGAAATACAGGAGAGATTTTTTTTAAATTCAAATTTAACCCACCTGTTGGAAATTTTCTTCCATCAGGATGCTCCCAAAACCTAAGAAACCAAATCACCTTCCTAGCTCCTACCGACCCATCAGTCTTTTGCCCATTACTGGCAAAATACTGGAAAAACTCCTATTGAACCGCTTGACCAAGGAAATTCCTACAAACACAATTCCCCATCACCAATTCGGCTTTCGGAGTTGCCACTCAACCGTACAACAAGCACATCGCATAATCGACGTTATTTCCACATCCCTTGAGGTAAAACAGTATTGCCCAGTGTTCTTGGATATACACCAAGCCTTTGACCGAGTATGGCACTCTGGGCTGCTGTGGAAGCTCAAGAACATCCTACCAGCAACCTATTACCTTATCCTAAAATCCTATCTTAACGATCGTTACTTCCAAGTATTCCACAAAAATTCATTGTCTCCTATCCATCCTATTCTTGCAGGTGTCCCACAGGGCAGAGTGCTCGTTCCTTTCCTTTATTCAATTTATACCTCCGACCTACCTACGCAACCTAACACTATCACCTTCACCTTTGCCGATGATACCGCAATCCTTTCTCCTGATAAAGATCCTGTCACTGCTTGCTGTAATCTTCAAAATCACCTAAACACCCTAGAATGCTGGCTCCATCGGTGGGGAATCAAGATTAACGAAACCAAATCAACGAGCATAATATTTACTCTAAACACTCCCACCATTATACCTCAACAACGTTCCCATCCCAATTGCGAACCATGTACGATACCTCGTACTCTACCTGGACATACGACTGACGTGGAACCCTTCATACACGACTTAAGCGCACAGACTGTAATATACGATTTTTCATGCTTAAACGACTACTCGACATACGATCAAAACTCTCACTAACAAACAAAAGAAAACTTTACAATGCCCTCCTGGCCCCCATTTGGACATCGGACTTGAACTTTGCGGTACTCCTAAGCGTTCCAACCTCAATCGAATCCAGTCCCTTCAATCTACAATCCTCAGAACAATAGTACAAGCCCCTTTCTATGTATCTAATCCATACCGGCCTAAATGTCCCTTTTGTTACCGAGCTAGCCCAATCCCGCTACAAAACGTTCCATTCCAAACTACTCCATCATCCGAACCCTTTCGTCAAAAACCTGTCATCCACCACATTACCTAATAATCCCAACAGAAGACTGAAGCGTCGGGTATATATACTACCTATGTTTATCTAAAAATCGTTGAACCTTTACTGTCTTTGTTTACTAGTAGACACATTAAACCAATTTGCTTATGCAGATCCCTTTTATATTTTATTATATTTTTTTCGTACACCCTGGAGGGTGACAGGGCTGATATGCTTGCACACAACCTACTTAGGAAGGAGCATGATCTTTGCCTTTTGGCCATCTAAGCCCGTCGTGATGACAGTAGATGGCAGTTCCTAGGTTGTCGGTGCAGCGTTAAGCCACATTGCTGATGGTTCTGAACACCCCATCTTTTTTGAGTCGGCATCACCACAGCACAAAGGAATTAAAATAAATTGCACCATGAGGCGCTTGCTATCATATGTTGGGTTACCGAGTATCATAAATATTTGGCAGATTTTTACGATTGAGCCAGTAAAATCTATTTTCTCCGAAACAAAGAAAATTTCACCAAATGCACCAGATAAAATAGTCAGATGGTGTATTACTTTGTCAGCTTACTAATGTAGAATTGTCTACAAAAAAGGAAAAAATATATCCCAAGGAGACATGTCTCGTCTACCAGTAAAAACGAATGGCCCTGATTTAGATGTCAAAATTTTATTTAAACGTCCACACCTTTAATTCCGTTTTGTGAAATAAAAAGTCATATTTCTCATCCTATCTTAAAGTTAGTCAGTGAATGTCCAAAGTCTTCTTGGTCGAATATGTCTCATTACTCAAAACTGTATGCGTAATTTGCTATCTGTTAGTGAGGGTTGTATGTTTCTAGGAAATAAAATCGTCGTACTATCACCCTCACATTTTGAGGATGACACTTTCAGTCACTTTTGTAAAGTGAATGGGGCTCGATGGAATGCTGAGTGGGGGAAGGTCGAAGGAGGGGAGATGTTGGAGTTGAGCTGGAAAAAAGAGGTTAGGTGTGTTCCAGACTCGTTAACGGTTGCTTGAGCCTAAAATATCATAATTTGGTTACCACCAGGGTGAGTTGAGCGATTGTGCTGTATCATGGTGTGGTTGTAGGTTGGAGTTGGGGAGAGGAGTTGAACGTCTTAGTTACCCTTTGTTGTAATTTTTATTTAACTTGTATATATATATATATATATATATATGTCTTGTAAATATATTTTGTTTTCAGTTGGTTTATTTTCAGCAAGTGTGCTTTTATTTGTGTAGTGGCCACTTGTAGCTACCACAAGTCACCGCTAGATGCCACTACGACTTATGGAATGTTCTCGCCCTCCACACTGCAGCCAATCAGAGTAGACTACTTCCTATATAAGCAGGGGCACTGCCTCTTTGCAGCAGACTCGCCAACCCGACGAGGTCTCACATATCACTAATACACGACTCCAGGAGACTCGTCAACCCGACGAGGTCTCACACATCACTAATACACGACTCCAGGAGACTCGTCAACCCGACGACAACAAGTATTCGATGCATCAGCCTGATCTCGCCTTCTAACAGCCGACTTGGCTATAAACGCCAAACGCTAATCGCTGCATCTCAGAACCTTCGGCCTCTGTGGGGTCAGCCGACTCACGGCCCCCGGACCTCAGCCAACGGTACTCTCACGGTCACAGACCATCAACCAACGGCGCCATGCATACGGTCGCGGCCTCGATTCGTCGGCCCTCCTACTCCACTACACAACACCGGCCCTTTTCAGGGCCACGAAACTCCCAGTCACTAAAATTTGTTTTATTTTAATTTTACTCTACCCATTATTATCCCCAGTTTTAGAAGTGTTGGACCCTTATTTGTCATGCCGTCGAATGATCGACGTCACACATTGGTAGCAGAGCAATATTTTTTTTTTGGACTTAGGATTTTTGTTTGTTTGTTCACCCCTCAATTGTCGGCAAAATTCCTTACAGTTGCATCATCCAAACATCTAAACGCATGATATCTTAGGTTGCATATATATATAAAAAAAAAAATTAAAAAAATATATATATATAATCATTTAAAACGAAATTATACAAAATTGAAAAAGAGAGATCACAATTTTTCACTTCGTAAAACTCGTACAAGTCTGCGATAAAACAAGGGCGCCGTACTAGATCAATCGTTAATCCCTTTTCGTAACAACAATAGATTAAAATTTTAGCCTGTTATATGAAGGAGAAATTTAACAATCTGAATTCAACAAAAAATATATATATATTTTACAATAAAGCAAATTTAATAATTATTTAATTTAAAAAAAATGACGACACGGACACCTCCATCTACTTCCTCCACTGACCAGCTACGCAGCGCGGACATAACAAAAACCCAAGACCCAAACGTTGTTTCACAGCCCCGGTTTTGCACTGAATGTTCGGAAGTGTCACATTTAGGTCAGGATTCAAGTGAATGCACGGTTTGCAACAGTATTTTTCACTTTAGGTGCTCAGACATAGCTACGCGTGATAAATGGGTAAAATTACCGGTGGACAGGAGGGGGAAGTGGAAATGCAGCACTTGTAAAGGCACGGCTACTAATTTGAGTCGTGAAATAGGTACTTTATCCCAGCGATTGAAAGCAGTTGAGGTGGTCAACGCCAAAATTTTAGATCAAAACAAAACGATTACCCAAACATTGCAAGAAGCCATATTAAATCTACCAAATCAGATCGCGGCAGCTTCTACTAAGATACCCCAGATGCTCCCAATGCAAAATTTAACCAGTGAATCAGTTTGCGACCCCCCAGAGACAAAAGGCTTATCTCAACCTAGTGAGTATAATAAAATATTAAGCGACCATTCCACAGTCGAAGAGCATAAGATTCACAATTCGAATATTATTAATAACCCACCGGGTCACTACAAATTGCTAAGATATTTAGAGGAACTGGTTTCAAAAATCCCTCGCTTGGAAACTAACAACCCATGGTCTGTCTATATTGGGTTTTATTTCCGAGTTGTATGACATTAACTTGACAAGTCCGGAGTGGTTTAACTATTTTTTTAAAACAGTATCAATTAAATTAAAGAATCCAGTACTGATGAGTATGTTAAATCACCAAAACTCAGAAGAGGTATCATTCAAAAAAATTTCCGAGCATTTAATTGATCAACACATTGACGTAAGAACGAAGACTTACCTCATTTCACGAAAAGTACTACGGACCCAACAAGGAAATGAACCCTTTAGAAAATCTGTACATGAAATCAAAAAATACTCCACTATCTTAGGGAGCTACGATCCAGATGACATCTTGGACATTATTCTCTCTGGTGTAAACCTACAAACTAGGGCTAGGTTTCAATTCACCCAAAGGCCCCAAGATATGTGTCAATTGGAAACACTAGTTTTACAAGTTGAACGACTGGAAGCCTCTGGCAAAGCGGAGAATTACAGTCGTAATTTTTCTAAATATTTTGCAACCAACAATTACAGACATAAACAAGTGCCTCACGCATATACCAAGCCGAATTCGCCTTCCAACAACTCACCGAACACGAACATATACGAACATAAAAATTATATACA